ATCGACTTGTGGAATACAAACCTCTCAGCAACATTGTGCGCAGGTTATCATGATTGCTGTTGTTGATATTCAGGGATTTAGAACAGAAGCAGATGAATTTATATTAAAAGAAATCGCTATACTGTGTAACAAAAAACTACAAGTGTTTTTAGTTAAGCCACCATTTCCATTTAAAAACTTAACGGAATCTGAAAAAAAGGTAGTTCTTTGGATTCAACGTAACAAAAAGATATACTGGAGTGAAGGATTTGTACCTTATTCCAATTACCAGACTTTGGTTTCCGATATATTAAGAGATAAATGTGTTTATGTTAAAGGTTCGGAAAAAGTTTTATGGTTAAAGCATATTTTAGAAAATAGTAACAGTAATATATTTAATTTAGAAGATAAAGGTTGTCCTAGTTTAGTACATTTATATGATCAATATAAACATTCTGAAGATATGTATAATTGTATTTATCATAACTCTGTATGTGCTTTAAAAAATATATTGTGTTTAAATAAATGGTGCCATGATAATAAAATTTTTATGAAATAAATAAAAACTTGTTTCATTTTTTTACAATATGTTTACTATCTCTGCCAATCCTGTACAATCACGTTTATAAATTGCTTGCAGCATTAAAGCAATGTCATTCTATGTTTATAATTATTAGCATCAAGAACTAGTAACTAAATAAATAAAATATGTATCAAACTAAATATAAACCTCGATATGATATGTATAATACATACAAAATACGTGAATTATCCTTTAATTATTACTGGGGGACGAATAATTCAAAGAAAAGATTAGTGATGGAAATGGCTGATGCTGGATTCTTTTATTACGGAATTAATCCATATGATAAAGCAGCATGTTTTTCATGTGGAGGTATTATAGAAGATTGGGAAATTTATGATGATCCTTGGATGCAGCATGCTATAAATTTTCCACAGTGTTTTTATTTAAACGCTGTGAAAGGAGGGGAATATGTCAGTCAGTGGCAAAACATCGTAAAGAATTGTGTTAGTGAGAAATCTTTCATGTTGCAATGAAAACCGTATATGGAAGCGCATCGAATGAATGATGTCATACAATACACGTATCATTAATGTAAACAAAGTGCTTGAAGTGTTTCACTATTTTGTTACATATTCGATGACACGTTTGGCTTAATGGTTAAGACCCTGGTCACAACTGAGTGCAATATAACATGTTCTTTAACCATCTAAACCAAGTGTCGTGGGTTCGATTCCCACACGAACAAGAGTTGATGTTTGTTCGGGTCTGGATTTTGTAATTATGTTTCTCGATACTGTTTATTTAAATAAAGATATCGTAATAATAAGACCAAATGTATTTCATTAAACACCTGCTAAATATTAAGCTCAAGAAACAGGTCAGAATTTTGAATACACACCCAGATAACAGATCAGGTTAGAATTATGAATACACACCCAGATAACAGATCAGATCAGGTTAGAATTATGAATACACACCCAGATAACAGATCAGATCAGGTTAGAATTATGAATACACACCCAGATAACAGATCAGATCAGGTTAGAATTATGAATACACACCCAGATAACAGAATAGACCAAGTCAGAATTTGTGCCAGTTTTTAAATGAATTAAAACAGTTGCTCTTAAAATCAAACCAGTCTGAATATTACAAACTGAATCATAAGTTTACGATTAGCCCCAACTGATTGATAGTCTAGTAGGTATATTTCATGTGTGGAATTGGGGTTCCTGGATTTTTTGATCCAGGAACCCCAATTCTACACTACTGGCCTGGACACTCTTACTTCCTCCGAGCCTAGAGACGCCCTGAGTTTGTCGGCGAGAGCGTCGGCTTTGGGGCCACTGGTAGCTCCCGATACCTCCAGTAAGCGGCCACCGGTAGCTGTAGTCTTGCATCGGAGACCCGTAATGCCGAGATCGCTCAGCGAAATCTCGGCTTTCGCCTTTGCTAGAATCCCGGCGTAGGTAAGGCCCCGCTCCTCTGCCCCTGGCTGCAGGGTGAGTACCACTGCTGTAGAGCGGGGAGAGCTGAGCCTCGCGTTTTGGCGCTTCGCAGCCGCCTCTACTTTCTGGGCCTGTTTTTTGGCCCGTTGGCGTGCCTTTTTGGTCTTTTTGGCGGCGCCTGCTACCGCCTACTCCGCCTAGGGTCTAGTAGCGGGTTCACGCTTGGCTGGCCGAGCAGTGGCCCCTGTCTTTTTGGCCTCTTTTATTGACTGCCTATTTGATTGTGGCCCCGCAGTTTTCATTTGCGAGGCGGCAGTTCTTTTTTGTGTCGCAGCCGCCGCTGGTGCCGGTTGGGCGGCACGGGGCGTTGCGGCTTGGGCAGCATATGTTGGAGTGCTCCGCTGGTCTGCAGCTAGGGGTGGACGCAGAATCTTCCCCTCCAGGACCAAGAAGCGCGCGTTAAAACTTGCCATCTCCTTACGGATCAGGCGAGTCAACTCGGTCTCCTGTGATGGCAACTGCGGTTGCGGTTGCTGCGTCGGGACCGCAAGGCCCACTTCTTGCCTGAGGTGCTCTCGGCGGAAGTTGACCATCTCGGCCTTGAGCTCCTCATGCTCCTTACGGAGCTCCGCCATTTGTGCTGCGAGCTTTTTGTTCTGGGCCCGCAGCAGGGCCGTCTCTTCTGTAACGGTGCGTGTTAATAGTACTTGAGTACTTTCCAGAATGGAGGCCGTGGCCTCTTTAAGTGCCTTCTTGCTGCAGCCGCTAAGACCCTTTGAGACTTTGCTCACCTGCCTGATTGCTGCAACCGCGTCAACAAGCCTTTGGTTTAGGTCGGAGGCAGGAAGATCCTCTGCCTCGACTCCTACATCCGAGACGACAACTGAGGACTCCGACAGGCGACTGACTCTCCCTTCCGTCACTCTTTTCGTCAGAGCCGCTATTTGCCGCTCATCCTCCTCTAGTTTATCGGCGAGTGCTGCGGCTTTCGCTGCAGCCGCAGCCTCACGCCTGGATAGGCCAACACCAACATATTTGCCGGTGGTGGCGGGCCTACCTCTTCCTCCTTTTTTGGCACCGACCTTGGGGGCCGGCATCGCTATATCGCTCAGGCCCGATTCCGACCCTGAGTCTGCACCTTCTCTTGGGCGTTTGCGTAAGCGTTTTAGATTACCGCTCACCGCGCTCGTCACACTCATACGGCTTGACACGCTATCTGAGTCCGACAGGACACCTTTCCGCTCGATTTGTACCATTGGTACTGTTTCACCCACCTCGTCATTTATTGTTTGTATTTTATTTTTTAGGGTCTCCATATTGTTCCCACGAGTACAAAGCAAGTAATGGTCAACCCCGGGCAGAGGCTTAGGTACCCGGGTAAGCCTACATACTGCTGGGGGCGGCAGGTACCAGCAGGTGGAAGCGCTAACGACCGTACACCCAACGGCCATTCATCCCCTCGCCGCGCTCCCGAAACTTGGGATTGGGTGGTTTTTTATCTTAGAGGTGTCCTTCCTCTGGGGCCGGGCGGCAAAGCCAAGCCCCCCGACGGCGGCATTAAGACATGCCTCCGTCCGCTGTCCGGCCAACCCGACTCAGCGGACCCGCCGAAACGTTTGCTCCTCAATGAACGAGGAGACAAACAAACCCCACATTGACGCGCCTGCGTCGAAGCGGGTGTGGCCGCGTCCTTACCTAATCAACTACGTCGAAGGGGCAGGAGCGACCCCCTCCTGCAGAAGTTAGCTCCGGACAATAATACTCCTCTACGCTGCACTACGCGAAGAGATTATTGTCCGTACCCAGGGTGCACCGGTCCAACGACTGCTCTTCCCCCCGGACGTATCCGCAAGGGACCAGCAGCCGCCGAACGCACGGGGAGGTCTTCTGCGCGCACCCCACACGATTACCCACTGGACGTACTATGATTAAGTTAATGTCACACAGAACTGTCCACAGACTGCACTAAAAACTGCTTATCCTAAGCAACTAAGTAGCTTTTAATCTTTTTAGCACTTTAATAAGACAAACATGTTTTACTTTTTAGTTCATTTTTTCAAATACGGTGTGTTTTAATTTTTTATTATTATTACTTTTGTTGTTCTGAATCAGTCAAGTGAGTTATACATATATATATTTGGATACCAATAGCACATTGAACTCGGTAATGCGTGCGAACTCTCAAGGGTCGAATGAACGTGAAATATGGCAGTGCATGGAAACCCGAGGGGTTTTCTAAACATCGAGGAAACTTCTCCCTTTAATTAAACTATGTAAGTGATATTTATTTGCCTTGATTTCCCCATAATTGCGATCTTATTGGTTATAGTTTTTGTTCAAATTTTTGAAACAGTAATAAAACAATGAATATATTTTTGTAAATAGGTTATAAGCAGCACTTTTACACGTCAACGTCACATATATATAAATGAAATTTAGATTAAGCCCGAATTTTCTATCTGTTAATCCAAATTCAGCGGTATTTATCTGACTCTTCTAAAGTCAAAATAATAATATAATTGTGCATAAGAGTACTTTGTATAAGTACACTACCTTTATTTTATGTACTAAATTATTTACTTGGTAGACAGTTCATACAAATAACGTTCTATATTCAAATCTACCTGTTAGACAGAGGCTGTCTAGATATTATGGAACAGGTCCTTAGTATTTTTAAGTAATTAATTACATAAACATATAAATAACATTTTTTAATGTTTAAAAAACAACAAGAACATTAAAAAAAATTGTTAGTATTTTTGTTTTGTCTTTACGTGGTTACAATGAAATATAAAGTTGCCTTGTTAAAGGCTAAATTTTAAATCTTTATTCTACTATTGCACATCATATTTAGCATAAAATTATGTTAGTCTATGGTTTAAAATAATGAATATCAAAGTTCAAAAAACACACGTTGAACTTTAGAATTTCCTCATTCATAATAGGATCCCTAGAAGTGCATTAGGTTAAAGACCAAATATGCAGATGCGATACTATTTATTTCATAATTAAAATGTATTTCAATTTTATCTAGTATCTATCCGTATCTAGGCTCCAAGCTGGAGCAGCGGAGCGTACAAAGTGGTTAATAGCCAGTAAGAGTCTGACACTCCCTTTAGCTTCATCCTGGGAAAGAGAAGTATGGAGATGATTTTCCTCCTCAAAAAAGCTTGGTATACTCAAAACTGAAGTTGTAAATTACGTAACATAAAAATAACATTAATTATAAAAGGAATCGTGACGTTTATGTCTGTATGTGGTAAAGAAAATTAATTGTCAGTCATTGAACACAATTAATTGTTGTTTAAATTAAAAGTATTTTCTAAAGAATTATATTGTTAGTAATAAAATCCTTTTTTCCTTCCTTATAAGGCGCATGGATACATATTAATTACTTTATTTCAGTTACATAGATTTTAAGTGTGCCGAAAGACGATTTTCGGCCAATCGGTAACTCGCCGCCCGACCAGAACCAGACCCGAGAGTACGGCGCGTAGCGTTCCGCGGGTGCCTTAAAGAGCCAATCGACCACCACAAACGGAGCCCTATAAGGCTGATGTTCAGCCGGTGCGGTGCTGCGGGGTAAGCGCAATGAGGCACCGCAACCTTGGCCCAGAGCAGGAGGAGGAACGGTTGATTTTCAGTCAGTAAGAGTCTGACACTCCCTTCCTGGGCGGCTCTGGACGGGAGAAGTCATTTGATGATTTTCCTATGATGAGCTAGCCTATACTCTTAATCTTATGAATTTACACGTCGATGTTGATATTAAATTTAAAAAACAGCTACTTAACCACTGTAATTTAGCTTAGTTTAAATCTCTGAAAAAAACTTTTACGTTCCAGCGATTTCGGTGGCATTAGCATGTAAACAACACGAGTCGTTAAAAAGAAGTGGTGAATCTGGAGTAAAGTGGCGTAGCGTCGGAGGGGCGTAGTGTCGTAGTGGCGTACCGCGTAGCAGCAACCGGCGTAGTGGGTAAATGAACATTACAGTCCGCCATTGTCTCTGTAGAACACTAATGAACAACTAACGAACTGAGACAAGCACTTTGCGATGCCTTTCTGCCGCTCTTAACAACCGTGCACAATAAATGGCTACCACAAAAATTGTGATGTTTTTTTTATGCATGCCTACGATTGTAGGTACGCAGGTACTGTTAGGCAAATTAACTGTATTAACAATACGTTAATTGTAAATAAATATGTATGTAGTATGTTATAATCTCCCTTAATTTCTTGTCTCCTAGTATATGATACACAATAGAAAACACATTGTGTCTCGTGTAGATCTGCGCTCCGGCTCCGCTATATCACGGCAATGCACTTGAAGTAGTGACCCCACAGATGCGGTCCAATAGGGTCGATGTTCAGCCGGAGTTGCGGGTCAAGCAATAAGGTACCGAGGCCTCGGACTAGAGCAGGAGAAGGAATGGGAGTGGGGATTTAGTCAGTAAGAGTCTGATACTCCTTCTTCTCTCACGTCATATACCCTAGGCGAGAGAAGTTTTGAGAAGTTAATAGGACTCACTTAAGGCATAAGTACTTTCCTATGCTATCCAACTCGTCGTCGCCATCGTCATCGACTGTGTACTGTGACATTAAAGTCAAAGAAACCAAGATCCAAGACTTTTATTCATATTACAATTTGAGGATTCTAACCAATCAAAAAAAAGTCGCTCCGATTCCGACAATCAGGTAATTTACTTGAATAGTATTTTTTTTAATTACGTTGATCGTGTGTTTACACGAGTTTCTGCTACCACAGACATTGCGAGTGTATACTCGGGCGATTTTCTGTATCTTTTTTTTTATTGACGATATACCCCCAGATATAAAAAATACAAATTACTGTTGTTAAAACCATACTAGCTTCTGCCAGCGTCTTCACTCGCACAACCAGATTAAAAACTAGCTTGTTATTACAGTTTATAATCTATCTCTGTGCCAAATTTCATTCGGATCCGTTCTGTAGTTTTTACGTGAAAGAATAAAAAATATTCATCCACCAATCCTCCCAACTTTCGTTTATAATGTACATATGAAGGATTAGTAGGATTTACTTTTGACCTAAATAGTTATTCTCTTAAAAAGTAAAAAAAAACACAATTTTTACAAAATGGTGTTGTGTATTTTTAGTTTCGTGTTGCATTTAATATTTTGGTGTGATCGGCATAAAGTTACGCGAGGTATAATAAGATTTTTCATTTATTTCCCTATTGAAGTTTACGGTAGAAAAATATGTAAATAATAAACTAAAAAAATAAAAAATATTTTTCAACATTCTAAAATAAAAAGAAAGAAGAATAAATGAAAAAACCAATATAAATGTCCACAGAACTGACGTCGTTTTACTTTAGCTAAAACGACGTCTGCTTTGATCGAAAATGGTCTAGTCTGAATTCCTTTGAAATTTATGCATTATCATTCTGAAGAGGTTACTGTAGGCCTGTCGATATTCTTTAGACATAAACACATAGATAATGGGATTTATACAATAACCTGAAAAATTCAACAATTGTAACATCATCATTGCAAATGGATACTTAGGTTTATCTAATGTTAAGGTTCTATTTATCATGACAGGCAACTGAACGAAGCTATAAGCTATGATTATAGCGAGTATCATTGTAAAGAGTCGTTGGTCTTTTTTTGTTGGGGCCTTTACTCTGTCTGCTTTCTTGGCAACCCTAAAAGCCGCCTCAGGTCTGTTTTCACCAGGAACACTTGTTTCGTCTTTAGGTGTGGACATACCAGAGTCTCCGCTTCTTGAAGAGTCATTATTGAATATTGGTCTCAAAGTACTTCGAGTGCTGTTGTTTCGTGCCAAATTTTTGTTCCGTAATTTCTTTTTCGCTTTCGTCGCTGTCCACCAAATGTTGATGTAACATATGGTCAAAATGATAATGGGTAATACATAGCCAAAACTTAAATAAAGTATTCCTTCATATTTTTCATATATTATGGTGCAGAATCCTTGGTTGGCGTCTAAGCCAAAGCCGCTCAGTGCTCCAAAATAATATGGCGTGTACATGGTTAAGGATAATACCCAGATCAGCAGTATTATTATTGATACGTTTCTTCTATTGCATATCCTGGAAATATTAAAGGAGAATTATTAAATTGGGCGTGGGTAAGTCATATTTTAGTTATTTTTGAATATAACCCATCGTGTTCCATACAAAATGGATGCTTTAGGTACTTAGTTTCAAATCACAACGAATGCTGTCATTCGGATGCGCGTCGTCACAGCGAAGCACGCTGCTTATAAATATGAATCCCATTGTGACTTCAACTTGTAGAGGTTTTCTAAGTTATTTCAAAATAGTAAGTCGTTATGTTCAATCTAAACTAATATTATGAATGTAAAAGTAACTCTGTCTGTCTGTCTGTCTGTCTTTTCTTCACGCCTAAACTACTGACCCGATTTCTGTGCAATTTGGTACAGACATAGTTCGGAACTCGAGAAAGGACATAGGATAGTTTTTATACCAAAAATCTGCAGGAAGTTATTATTCCATGCGAACCGAGTCGCGGGCAAAAGCTGGTAAGTTGATAGTTTAGTACTTTTCTGTCTAAGACTTGAGAAAAGGTCTGTGTTCAGCAGTAAACATCTTCTGGCAGTTGATAAGTTGATTTTTATAATAAATTCTTTAAACTTATTACATACTAGCTGCTCTCGCGCGGTTTCACCCGCTGCTCGGCTGCATTTATTCGTAGCGTGATGTTTTATAGCCATTGTAGTTATCAATCAGTGAAAGAATTTTGGCAATCCGACCAGCGGCTCCAAAGATTACCTCCTACATACAAACTTACAAACTTACAAATTTTACCTCTTTATAATTAGATTCACTGTAAATTAGATTCACTGTAAATTATTACTACTTACTTGGAATACGAGAATGGGAAGCACACTAATATGAATCTAGTGATAGTGATGGCTAGGATACTTAAGATAGAACTGGTGGCCAACATGAATCGAAGGTGCGCATATAGGACGCACATTGCTTTTCCATATGTCCAATGGTTCTGCGCCAAAGCCGCCGCTGTCAGCGGCAAGATTATAATGCAGATCATCAAGTTGCTTATGTGAAGATTTATTATGAATATCGCTGTCACGTTCTTTACCTGCAAAATATTATATATATATAAATAGGGTTATGCGTGAAATAGTGGCCCACCATTAAAGATTAGATTAATTAGATAGTTTAATATAACCAATAAACATTTTTACCATTTTTACATTCTGTTATAAGTTGTATTAAAAAGACTTGTTCTGATTTCTGTTTTTATTTGTTGAATACGTAAATAAATGTGTTCTTACAAGTGCATTTCGAGAATTTGAAATAATCTTCTCAATTTTTAATGACTAATATGAATTCTTTTATTTTGATACGTTGGGTAAAAATAGTTAATATTGTAGTAGTTTATATAATTATCTGGTTAATCTAATCCTTAATGATGTGCATAATGTTTCAAACAATGACAAATAACAAATTTCAGTAAGTGTTGACAGGACTTTATAATGCGCTCTTGAAAAAGCCTATTTTTTATGTGGTCGTGCTGATATTGAACTTTCTGATCACCTGATCGTGTATCGGTCCGTGGCACTACTTTTGAATATCTGGAACACTAGGGCGAAAAACGTTTTACGCTGGTTTTCTTTGATGCTGTGTTATTTTAGTCTAGCCGGCCTGGCCCATTCGTGCCAAAATATCACTCACAAAATACTTCAAAATTCCTGTATAGTCACTACATACTTTTAAATCGTAGTTCTCGTAAAATTGCCAACCGACTTTAACATTTTAAGGGCAGGTATGTCTTTTACCCTCAAGGCGAGGATTCCAAGAACTACTGCTGGATATAAAGAATTTTTAATTTTAACAAAATACTTACTTTTTTATCCCAAGCCAGTGCTAAAATGGTAGTGAGGTTGCCAGGGACGCCAAATATTATGAAAACCGAGCACAATGCAAGAGCGAACTGCAGGTGGGATTCTGCATGGCAATGGTATAATTCTGTTGCTGCGAGCTCCTCTTCAGACACTCTTGAGAGGATCAGATTTGCACTGTTATTAAATAAACACTTCGCCATCTTTTTGATAGTAAACTCTTTGTAGGTTTTATTTTAAGAAAACAAAATAATTCTCTGTGTTTTAAAATATATGTAGTCCTTTAACCACTATCCTATAGTAAATGATTATGTAATTAGTGCTTATTTTGAATGTTCGTCGCTAGCTGCTGTTTTGATTATCAATTATTTGGGAGATATTGATGATTTTTCCTTATTTGATACGAAAGGAAGTACAATCGTTAAATTTAATTAGTCATAATTATAAATTATAAATGTTTATACCAAATCTTAGTTCTACAGCTCTGCTTATTTGTACTTTTATATTTATTCCATCATAGGTGTATTCCATTTTTTTTACATCGCCGTACCTCGATATAGTATTGTCTGCCTGTTTCTCTGTAAGACCTTCCAGTAAATAGCGCAATACACTTTTACATTCAGCCACTCAAATTTAGTGCATCGAGGACATTACGTTACGTATATAAAAAAAAAACATTAGTCAAATAAAAATAACTAAAATTGTAGTGTAGAGAGTCAGCACTCTACGTCGCAGCTCAGTTAAAAATATGCTTAATCATCACTGACTGAATGATACTACAAATTAATATAAATATCATCACAAGTTTTGTTTTATAATTAACGTACTAGATGGACATTACAAAAAATAATAATAAAAATATAAGTAATTTTTACTATTCCTTATCGAAGATTGAGATTAGAATAAATTATTTTGGTTAACAATTAAATTTTTTCGTTGTTAGTCAAATTACGTACATGTTATTAAAGTGGTAATAATGAGCTACATACGTTTGAAAGGATGAGGACGACAATTAAATTAACAATTACTTAAAAAAAAAAACCAGTGATGGGATCTTGTCTCTGATGTTTGTCCTCTCTGCATGCTTTCATGCTCGTTCTTCTCCATTCGAATCTTCATATTTGGCTGTATGACGAACAGACCGACGCTGTTCTATACTTACATTTTGTGTGAGTCCATTTAGAGAGGATATTTATTTAAAATTTAATGCACCGATCAAAATGAGCTGAGCAGCGGGAAATACTGCGCGGGTGTTGCTATATTGCTATATTGATGCATATAGTATTTATATGTCTCTTCCTACAATGATTCCATGTTTGCTTATTATTAAAGGGAAAAGTGTAATGTGTTACCTAACTAAAGAGCTAATTAAGTAGAAAATTGCACAAACAGACAATTTTTACACGAATACTCCAACCAATTGCATAGGAATTCAGAGTGGAAAATCCTATTTGTGTGGATGCGATCCTAATGGGTTTGTAGTTGGTAGCCGTTGATAGATTTATTCGGGAGAGTAAAAAGAAAACAGATTGGGAAGCTCGGGAAGTCCATTCGGATGTATTCGACCGACACTCGGATTACTGCAGCGGTGTATCATGAACTACTCTTGCTGTTGATGAAGGATTTAATACTTATGTAATTAAAGGTGGTATTCTGTTCACTAGCAGTTGATTTAGGACTTTTTATCGTGGAGACTACGGAATATGTAATATTTATATAATCTTTTACTTAAATTTTAAGACGTGCTTAAGGTGGTTATGTGAAAAGCTCAAAAATGTCATTGATATTTCGGATAATTATTATTATGTGAAAAAATACCGAATTGTTGCGAAAATGTATAGAATATTATATGTCTAATCCAATAAAACAACGTCAAGCATGCAGTTTAACAGTAAATTATAAAAAAAGGAGAACTTACTCAAGTGAATTGCTGAGAAAAGCTCGACTAGTTTCAAGTCACGACGGGACTCTTATTCACGAGTAGCGCCCGCGTCGCGACGACCTCGCGCAACCATCAACTAGCAGAGCATTCCTCCGTTAATTCAAGTTAGGAAGCCATTATCAATAAAAATACATTATAGCATACATACGAGCATAAACCTGAAGAAAATATTTAAAAAAAAAAATCAAATAACTTAAAATAAAATTGAGTTAATTTGGTAGATGGTCAAGTTTAACGGCTAAACTCAATGTTCAGGGTGTTAATGGTTGTTTGGACACGCGGTTATAATAAACCAGATTAAATCGGGCTAGCTTAATGTTTTTAATTACGGTATCTGACCTTTTGATGTGTTAAAATACCCTTGGAGGACGGAGTTAATGGGATTATTTTGTAAAATAACACAATATGTGGCCGCTTCAGGATAATTTGTTTAGATTTGACAACTATATTATTTTATTACATCGTTGGTCGAGTGCATGTACAGACCAAGTTGTTTTGCCTTGATTCCTGGTACAAATAATTGACGAACGATCAGACGGGTTATTTGATAATAAGCAATCGACGCCGCCCATGGACACCCACACCTCCAGAGGAATTACATGTGCGTTTCCGCCCTTTTGGGCTTACGGGGTTTTGGGGATGGATTGAGGATGAGGGAGATGATTGGTCACCAAACTCATATGGCGAAACACAACGCTGTGCTTGTTTCACGCCGGTTTTCTGTGACGACTTTTCGTGCCGAAGCATGACTCTCCCACACTTATGGTATTCGAAAATCGCCAAATTAACATGGAGTTTGTAATTAGTTTTGATGTGACCTCATATTGTTTACTCGTAAAAGTCATGGTTCGTTCAGATTGTATCCGGGTGCTATTTTATGAAAGATTTGAAATTCTTTTTACTTTAATTGGAGCTGTCATATCATAGGTCGCACCCACACATTATAACCCTGTACGAATGTACTACTATAGCCTAGCCTAGCTTAGCCTGCACTAATATGTCTAGCATTATTTTTCTTTTTAGTTTTATACGAGTACGTGATAATGTTTTCCTTTCTCTTTTTTCCTTATCATCAACTTCTTAGTTCTCAAGTTAGTGTCACATTTTGCCGGAATTTTTGGTCGAAATTTTCGTGTTTTTTTCAGATAAAAAATATGATGTCAATATTTCTGCTAAGGTATAAAAATACATATTTCCGGCTAAAAACTTGAAAGAAGGTATTATGTGGGAATATCATTAGGGTCAAATGGCGTCATTGAAACATAAAAACACCTGCGGGGTTGGGTAAGGGTTTTAACCTTTAACATTTTCTCAGTCTTGCCTTCAGTTACACGAAGCTTATAAGTGGCAAAATCTGGGAATCCTGTATGTTTAAGTAACAAACGACCCTGTAAAATAAAATGTAAAAATTTTTACTAAGTTGTCTTTAAGTTATTAACTGCTGACATTAAACGCCGGGGCGAAACAACCACAGCGTTGGGTTTCGCCGTGTGAATGAGGTTACCGGAGGCTCAATACTTCCTCTCCCCAATCCCTAAATCTCTCAAATCCCTAATCCCCAAAAGGTCGGCAGCGCACTCTTAACTCCTCTGTTGTTGCGGGTGTCCATGGGTGGCGCTGATTGCTTACCATCAGGTAATCCGTCTGCCAGTCTGCCGACCTATCACATACAAAAAAAGAAATTGGTAATATCTATTGTTGTTATAACAAAAACTTATTTGTGTATATAAACGTGTTAATAAACTATTCTTCCAATTGAATGGTAGTTAGTTTCCTATTTCGAACTCATATTCTCAGATACTTTAGTTAGTGAAAATTGGTAACAGGAAATCCAAACAGTACCTATCTATTATGGTGCAACTGGGATTTTTCACTTACATATTCCCGTACATAATATGGGATCACGAATTCAATGAAAACGTTAGTGATGCGAATGACCTGCATGTGTGTATTTGAATTAAAATAAGGACGTAATAATTGTCGTCGGACCTGCTTTCTAAGGTTTTCTTTGACAAAGTAGACAGTTCAGGTTTTTGACGCCCCGTTCCTTCTCCTGCCTCAGGCTGAAGCCGTGGTACCTTATTACGCTTGGCCCGCAAAACTTACTTAAGACATAAAATTTATGGACGATTTAGCTTTTGCCCGCGACTCCGTGGCACGTGGCGTGACTTCGTGTGGAATACAGACTTCCTGCAGATTTTTGGTACAAAAACTATCATATGTTCTTTCTCGAGTTCCAAACTATGTCTGTACCAAATTTCACAGAAATCAGCTCAGTAGTTTAGGCGTGAAGAAAAAGAGACAGACGACTTGCTCATGTGACTGGTGCCGACTGTCGCCACGACGCGCTAGTCATGAGTAGCATTCATGAATAAGATTTCCATTATCACTTCAAACTAGTAAAGCTTTTTTTTTCCTCATTCACATAAGGCGTTATTTTAAATAACACAGTCTTCATAAAAAGGGGCGATCCAATACCATTTTTTTCACCTCTTTGTCAAAAAAGTATCTAATGCAACTAGCATACCGCGAATGCATCTGGAAAATACATTGTACACTTAGATATTTGGTGATAGCGTACCGTACTAGCATTATGTAAACTGTAAGCTAGCATCGTATGGAGCCAGTTAGCGGGTTTTTAGCAGCGTCCATCAGTTTGACGGAGGTGTCTCTAATCTGGCCTTCTTTTATAAATTTTCAACCTTATGATTGTGCAATAAAGTTGAATTCATATCGAAGGGTTTATCAGTATCGGTGTCTAGCTGATTAGTTGTTGGTTAGCTCTTAGCTTAATTAGATTATGAGCTGTAAACAGTTATGTAGATTTTCTGATAGGCACAAGGTTCGGCTTTTTATTTGTTTAGCATTTTTAATGCTGATATGAAATACTTCTCTGATTTTTTGGTGTTGCGGGTGTCAATGAGCGATGCTTATCACATACTTAAGGTGGTAGGTTGACACTCACTATACTTAAAGAATAGGTCGGCTCGTTTCTACCCCATAAAAACTACTTAGGAATTTAACGTCAATGATAAACATTCTGCAACGTAACAGTACTACAAGTACTACTTTTTGAGGCTTTGCGACTGTTGAGCCATCAAGTAATTATTATTTTAATTATGATTTTAATGTAAATAAATCTAGAGATAGTATGTTTTCGAAGACTCTCTTTTCTAAAATTAGATGATTAAAATTCCGAACACAGATGAATAGTAAAGTATCCAAACGAGCTCAGGGAATTATGCTCAGAGAAGATTTTGAGACAAAACCATCCTTCCAATTCAAATATTTATTATGCCTATCAATGAGTTGTTTGTGGTATTTATATAATTATGTTTGTGCATCATTGTAATTATAAGTATGCAATTATATTAAAGGAAAAATGTACCAATTTGATGTGCTCATGACTGGTATTTCTATGGATGCATACTTACACAGTTTTAGATCTGGTAATGCTTAATTTATTATATTAAACATTACACATTGTATTAAATAGCTTCATTATATTAATTAACTATTGTAGATTTTCCTTATAAGTATGCATTTATGAAGCCAAATAACGCAAATTCATTTTAATTTAACCAACTTCAATGTTTGATATTTATTTAGGAGTACTTAAAACGAAAAATATATTTTTGCCATGTTTTTTCTTTGACCCCATCCACAATACACATTGCAAATATATCATAGTCAAGCTTCGTAAATAAATAATATATATCAAAAAGGTCACATATTTACAGTAGTCAGTTATCACATCTCAAACGGAATCCCGTTCCGGGATTGAGAGTAAACCCAACGGATTTCCTTATCGCGTATTGGCGAAAATTTATAGAGTGTGAAAATTCTGTGTCTCGACGGATCGGTGTGAAATGACAAACGTGACTTGAATAAAAGGTAAAGCGGGTTCATACTAGCGGAGAGGATGGGCGACGTTTTAAATGAGTGCTGTTGTGTGGTAGGAATTGTATGCATGACGCGGTCTGAGCATCGTGATATATTATGTATTGAATTTCTTGAAGTGATGCGGTTTATTTACGTTCCTGTTTTATTCTCGTTTCACCCCGCTTGAGGTTGGTAACGTCTTTATTTAGTAAATAAGGAATAAGGTTGTGGTTGGTGAGTACTTTGTGTGCGACTGTTAGACTCATTTGCCCTCTCTGATGCTAATTTTATTTGTGTATGCTTTTTGAGTGGTTAATATTTAACTATGCTTCTTAACAATTATGTATTGTGATAAATATAATAGCAAAACCACTAGTATTTTTTTTTACAATAGGTATTTTATTTCCTTTATATTGTTTTTGTATATGTAATTGATCTGCAAACGAGCATTTGTATTACCTGATGGTAAGCAATCAGCGCCGCCCATGGACACCCGCAACAACAGAGGAGTTACGAGTGCGTTGAAGACCTTTTTTTACAATCAGTTTCTAAAACGACTCAATTTTCTTTTAAAATATAAATTATATTTCCTGCCATTTCACCTAGAACTGACCCAATAATGCAAAGCCGTTCAGTCGATCGGTTGTCCCTAAGCAAATATAAACTTGGCTGACAAATCCTACGTGCTCGAAGTCTCGCCTACACGTGTAGAAAATGGCGGCGTTTTACATTTTTCTGAAAATGTCAAGTAATGCCGTGAATTAAGTTATTGTGGATTGTTTAAAGTTCAAAGTGTTACATTATTTTAAGCTGAAGGATCTGTAGAGATTTTAATATTTAAAAACATTATTATTAAATATTATTAATAGTAAGCAAATTTAGCTCGTATTAAGATTTTGGTTATAATACAGCTATCCTGTTCCAAATTCAATGCAAGTTTTTATATTTTTTAAATCACCAGATATAAGAGGAAAAGCAAGCAGCTTTCCGGCAAAGGCGATTAAATGTTCATGCAACATTACCAGCCAACAATATCAAACCCAAAACAATCTTGAGAAAATGTACATAAAAATTAAAAAACCAAGGTCAGTTCTAAAATTGAAAAAAAGAAACAAATGACAAAATAAATCAGCGAGGCATTCCCTGCGTCGGACACGGAGATCTCGAAGCGAGGCTTTCGAAGGCATTCGATTTAACGGAACATTTACCAATGTGAAACATTCAAGACAAAGTGCAAACATCACACTGACACAAAGTAGTGAAGAAGTGAATATATCCTCTATTCACATTACGTGTAGCCATTATGTGCGGTTATAAAAGGGTCTAAGGGTGTGGTGAACCTAACATGTCCCGCGGGAACATTATTTATGCCCGCGGACCGGGACACTTCCAGTGTCCCAAGATGTTCGACCTAAAATATGGGCAACACCGCCCAACTTCCGAAGAATAATGAGTGACCCAAATTACGTGCTTTTGACAACTAATGCCACATAAAAATGTTTGTAACATTTTTGTTGAAGTTATTTGTTTTACAACAATGTAAGATGATTTCTTTAGCTAATCTGGAAGTTCCTCACGATCGCTTTGGGGACTCGTTTGGACCAATTTGATGACCCTTTACGATTTACTTTAATAAAATATTATTAAACTTTAATGTACTTAGCCAAATTTTTGTTTAATATATAATATATACTATGGGGGTCTAATGTCATGGTGCTTAATATTTTCAAATGATATGCCGCGATTTTCGATTTTGAATTTTTTGAGGTTAGCGAAGTGGCTGGAAACTGGCTGCTGTGAAACGTGGCTCGAATCCCGAACTAAACATTTTTTTGTGTGATCTACAATTTCTATCTGGTTATAATATGTATGTTTGTAATGCTCGGAAAGATAAGAGGAAGAAACGGGGTGGCAACTATTTAGTTAGTAAGAGTCCGACACTCCCTTTGCCTAAAACAAACCGGACCGGGGGATTTGATGATTTTCCTCTCCCTAAAAACCTATAAAATGGAAGAAAATCCTAGTGTAGGATAACGATTTTATAAATTAAAAGAAACATAAATAATAGGAAACATTAAAAAAATCACATTTAGAGGATTAAAATGTCATATTAAAAGTAGCTTATGAGATAATCCAGGGTATCCAGAGTATACGTATCTTAATCCCAAAGTTATCCGTGAAATAGTTAAACAATAATAAAATCATACATTCTCACACACTTTCACATTTATAATATTAGTAGGACTATACATATGTATAAGATTATTCAAATATAATATAAGGAAAGTACATATGACGTTGATATAGCGGAAAAAGAATTTTGAAGCATGAAATTTGACACGATGTATGTACCTACAGTATATACATTATAACATTCGCGTGTACCTACTTAAGACTTATGTGTGAGATTTGATGTAGAAAAATGTGTTACCGTGGAATGTGATAAGGAAATGTAGGTTCTGGTGCAAAATAGAATTTGTTTCGTACATGTTTTACATGTGAATAAATTACTTTAGGTAGGTAGGTACCTATATGAAGTTCATTGACATCAGAACTAGGGTTGCCACCTTTTTTTGCAGTTAATAAAGTACATTGGTTATTATAGGTAAGAAAAAAAGTACATGGGATCAAGATAAAGTACAATTTATTTTTCTTTATTTTTATATTTCAAAACATATTTTTTATTGCTTTTTGCAGTTTGCATTAAATAAGTGTCTCTACTAAAACATCTTTACAGTCTTTATTAAATTCAGAGACGCTTTGTTTCTTTCATCTCTTCATCTCGCTGTTCATCACAGACTTTTCAAAATCCCAAAAAAATCAATACATACAAAATAAAGTATTTGCGTGTACTTTATTGTTCTCATAAAGTATAGAGTACAATTATATGAAATAGAGTACAATACTTTATTATAAAGTACGGGTGGCAACCCTAATCAGAACCAAGCATTTTCCAAATTATATTTTCATGTTAAGCATATGTTTCTTTGTTATTGTTATAAAATTGCATGTACTCCGTTCTTCAGCTGGGATTACGGGCTTTCTTTTAGTGAGGGGGTGGGTCTGACTCTTACTGACTAAGAACCCCCCCGTTCCTTCTCCTATTCCAGGTCCACGGACCTTACGTAGAATGAACGGAGTTGTTTTAATTTACTAAGAGTTTGAGACTACCTCTTGCCCCTCTCAGGTCGAAAGAAATCACCGGACATTTATACCCTTAAAAAAGGAATAATCATTTTTTTAATAGGGTATCATTACGTCAGACAGATATTGAAAAATAATAATTAATTAATAATAATTACAAAAAAATATTAAAACTAAAATTTTTATTATAACTTTCGTGAGACATTCTAAATTATTTATTATGTTTTCGGCTTACTCACGTAATAATTTGACGAGATACTCGACTAGTTTCAAGCCATGCTAGAGGCCCATATTCATGAGCAGCATTCCGCGACACGCGACTCGGCGACCGTCGCGCTGCGCGCGAGCGACCGTTGAGCAGCGCGACGGTCGCCGAGTGAATGAAGTGAAGGGAATGCTGCTCATGAATATGGGCCTCTAGCATGGCTTGAAACTAGTCGAGTATCTCGTCAAATTATTACGTGAGTAAGCCGAAAACATAATAAATAAAACTAAAATTGTTTAAGGGATGGAAGGTCGCTTCTTTAACTGTTTTTATAAAGTGTACTAAAGAGTGACGTCACGTTTAAAAAACAATAAAGAATACAGATCTCATGTATCTAAATTAAAAAAGTTTAAACCTCTCTTCTGGCCAGTCTTTTTTAATAACACATAATATACATATATCTACGGATACATAATATTTTATGTAAATGAAATGAAACAATTTATTTTTCAAGTAAATTAATGATGTGAAATGTCTAAGAAATGAATTACCTAATTAGGTAGAACTCTATAAAGTCGTGGCTCTTTTTAAAAGCAAATTATTTATTAGGGATTTTCTTTTATGAGTGACATTAATTTTAGGAGTGACGGATTTAATGATGTCTCCAAATCTTTTTTCCTAATAACCTTTTTTCTTTTTCTTGGGAATTAGAATGCCTTTTAAGGTTTTGCAAATAAAAGTAGGTTGGTATATTTATTTGTAAGTAGATTTATTTGTATTTAACTTAATTTGATTAATATTTTAGTTCATTTATTTACTTTTTACCTTGATAATCATATGTTTACGTAACTTTACAAATATTTTATTATATGTGTATGTGTTTATAGCACTTTATAAACATAGAAACTCTAGTTGCATAAAGGGGGAGATAGTCTGTCTTTATAACCAGGAATAGCAGTTTAAGAGCATATAATAAAATATTTTGAACATCTAACGGAATCATTTGCGAAATCAATATTGATCAGGGATGACTAAACGCTTATAATTTACAAAGCCGTACCTTGCATGCCGGCAAAACAGATCAAATGCGATAGTGGCGCCGCTTTTGAGTAATTAGAGGAGCAAATCAGCCATTTCAATTGGATGTACGACGAAAGTTTGGCGTGGTGCGGACGAAATGCGGCCAATTTTGGAATGCTCGGTTTGTTTAGCAAGTTGATTGAATGGATTATAGAACCAACGATACACCGCGCATTACATGGTTTTGTTTCTTTGTGATTTTTATTTATTTCTTAATGGGCAGACATTTGGATGCTATATCACGCCTGGTGGTAAATGATAATGCGACCTACGATGGAGCATACCATTCCATAAGCAATCTATTTACTCGGGCCTTGAAGACCCCCAGGTTATACCCATCGGGGAACACAGACTCCGGCAAAGAATTCAACTCTTTAGCGGTTCGGATTATAAAACTAGAGAAATTATTACAAATACGAGTTTTCCGTCCAAAAAAATGCACGAGTTGGTCGTTAACCATAGTCCATAGTTGTGTAACACAAAATAATTATAACGAATAAATAAAATTGGTGAAACTCGATAATCGAATGACGGCAAGTGCGGCTACTTTGTGCGGTAGTTGGTTTCATTTCACATTCGACCATTGTTATTATGTATACGTTTTTATCATTAAAAAATCTAAGTGAAACTACTTAAACGTCTGATTATGGTGATACTTGCTTTTCAATTACTCTCCTTGACCAGGATTAAATACTCAGAAAGTTTTATCTTTTGTGCTGACAAAACTTTTTTACTTCGCCACTCGATCTCAACTTTTACGCAATAGGCTTAAGAAAAAAGGGTATCTTGACGATTTTTATACCAAAATCCGTTGTTAGGCACGTCTTAATACAAAAAATAGGTCGGATAAGGTATCCCTGGTTTAGCCTTGGCACGTGACGTAATTTCTTTCAGTTAATTCTTAGGCTGGTACGGAATAACAATTAGCTCGGAAAAATATTATATTACACACTTACTTAAATATTATATTTTCGTTGTATGAAATGAAAGGTATAACAGGTTGTTCTTGTGACTTTTTTTTTCCTTTTACATATAATAACGATTGGAGTCTGTGTTATTATTTTTAAGTTTATCAACGTTTTTGCTAGATCAGCTCCTTGATACGGAAAACGAGCCGAATTGCTTCAGTTACAGAATAACAGTTTAGATGTAGCCTTCACAAGCTTTTATATTTTATAAAAATTTACAATTGTGCTAGCGTATCAGTTTACAACTTTATACTAATGTTCACAGTGTGTTTAAAAGTATGTTTTGAGAATCTATTTATCAAGTATAAAAATAAATTAAAGGACATGGCCAAAAAAGTACATTCCACGTCACAGAAACATAATTAATATACCTACAGTAAAATAAAAATAGAAATATTACGTAGTTTTTAGCCTCTCGTGTTTTATTTATTGCAATTTAACAATATTCACGAATGTAAACATCAAAAATCATTGATGTACATTGAATTCAATATCTATGCAAACTCCCATACAAAAATTGGCCATGTCTTTTAGCTTCTTTTTCTTTCTTCGCTTATTTTTAAATTACTATTATTCAATTTTTTAGGCCATCACCATACAATCGTTGTTTTTTGAGGAGGAGAGGGATCATCAAGTTACTTCTCTTGCACAGGGTGAAACGATAGGGAGTGTCATAGAAATTTCCTTTAGAATGTGATTTTAATTTTAATCTCATTTTCAGAAAATGTTTTCTATGAGTACCTTGCGACAGTGGGCGTGGCTATCTGAACATGACGTCATTAAAGATTCTAAAGGAACGTGCAAGTTTTCTTATATTTCTTCAGACAATAGCATACATTAGAGTGTTGGCGTTGACGCGACGTGTAGGTGGTACTCTTTGTGCTACTAGTTGCTCTAATTAAGAGATGCCAGTATGACAGTGTGCCTACGCAGCACCTCACATCACAATAGATGTTCATTACGGTGTATAGTTTCATTCACGAACAAAAGGTGCATCAAAGACGGTAATGGACATTGAAGTGCTTTGCATTGTTCTTAAAAACTAAATAAGAACAGTGAAACATTTTTGCAGGCATTTTGTTTTTCTATTTGAGGACTTTGAGGTGAAATTTTTCAATTAAAATTTTGATTTAATATCAAAACTGACAGTCCTTTGTCCTCCCTATGTAAGTGGGCTTCAGGAAAAATTTTTCACAATGAAACAAAAAAGAAGCTACTAGTCCCACTATAAAGAATATATTCATATAAAAACTGCATGCCGCCGTCACAAACTGTTATTTATTGCTCTACATTTGTATGCAAATCAGTGCATTATTACCTTTCCACGTAGTGTAATAAAAATTAAAACATTTATTGCTGTTAATTCGTTAAATTTTAAGTGTTTCACTATAAAACATGGCTGCTAGAGCTCTGTACCCACGTTAGGTACGCAAACGGAAAGCGCCTTGGTATAAATTCAGCAATAAAAGTAAAAATATGTGTGTGTGTGTGTATATGTATGCATTCACCTACGAGTCTACAGAGGAACTCCATTCTTCGTACCTCAGCTGTTGTTTCAAATGCATTTTAAATAGATTTTAATTATTTGTTTCTAGAACTTTTATTTTGTTTTTCTTGACTGTGTTCATAAAGCTGTGACTGTAATAAAACTAGCTTAAGAATATTAAGAATACAATATAGTGCGGGCTTAGAATCACGATTTATTTTATTTCTGTAACTTGATAGCTCCGTGTTTTAGAAAAACATGTTGGATTGTTACTTTCTATATTTTATTGTGGTGTAAAATCCATGTAGGTAATGATCTACAGCAAAACCAACGCAACTTTAATACATACAAGCTGTTTAATTTGATTAGGTACTTAGGTACATACTAACAACAGTGAATTTGTGAATCATAAATAATTAAATATATTTCATAATTTTCTCTGAAATTGGGTATTACCGTTTTACCTAATCCGACAATATTATTTATAACTATTGTGTGAACCATTCCTAATTAAGCAACCTATATTCAAATAAAAATGAACTTTGTCATATATGTTCGGGTTAAAATCTCTTGAATGGCTATTAAATTGGATAATTCTTTTTTCGCTGTAAGGTTGTATGACACAAAAATTATAAAGTTGACCGATAATGTTATGAAATAGCTTAGGCTGATGCTTATCTAAACATATGTATGAGGAGGAAAAAAATGTTGTTATATTGTTTGTTTAAATAGAATAAGATCGAAAACTACTTTAACAAATATGAGAAATTATTTTACTACTGAAAAGCTACACGACCTACGGTGGACATAGGCTATATAAGTATACTATAATAATATTTCATCACCCCTAGTATAATAATATTTTAGTTAAAAAGTTTAAAAAAATAAAAGTATCTACATTTTTTACATTGTTTGTCTCACAGCACTACAAAAAAATTAAACAAATTCCATGTTACTGTTACATTAAATCGGCATTTAATGTGCCAAAGCACACAGCACACATATTATTCAAAATCACAATATTATTCGTATCATTTGCCTTGTACAAGCGGCTTATGATGTTTTGTATATTCTGTGGTCATGAGCTAACGAAACTCTTTATAGAAACCTTTAAAAGTTACATTAATTCTGTCATTACAAAATTGGTACGTTATGCTGACATTTCGTTTTAAGGTTATGTTAGGTACGTACGCCCATAGATAGGATCTTGTAAATAATAATAAGTGTAAATAATAATGCATTCAATACTAGAATATTGCAAAATAAGGAACGTCTATAGAAATCTGTTGAAACATACGGTTATTATCGTGGGCTTTTGTACAATTGTAAGTTTCATTTTCTATAATAATTTATCATTTTTATATGGTACTAGCCACGAGTATCATAATAGGTCAGTCGATTGCATTATGATCTAGTCATTATAATAGTCAATTGTGATTAGTATAATTAAAAATTTTACCGTAAGGTGGTCTGTCTACTGGTTTGCCTCATATTATATAAAAAACTGTTAATTTATTTAACCTGAAATAAGTATACGACTGCATTTGATTGAGGAAAACCTGAGGAGTAACATATTAGGTTGACGCTATACATAAGTATATAAATAATAAAGTATAATTTAGAGGAAGTCTTTAGAGAAAAACAACATACAGGTAGTAACGAAATGATATCATACTAATGTTGAA